ATATATATATATATATATATATATATATATATATATAAGAGAAAAATAATTTACTATATCAAAAGAAAAAATTACAAGTAGAGAATCCCATGACACATAAAAAAAATAAATAATAGAATTATTTCTTGTACAGAAAAAGAAGGTATTATTGATTCCTACAAGAATCTCTATAAAAAAAAATATTCGAAAGGGGCCAATATAACAACAAAACATGGATTGCAATCTAAAATTTATTATAAGATCAAATTAGCAGTAAAGACATTCAATTTCTATGCTCATATTTTTCTATTAAGGTGAGAATACCCACAAAATTTGAGGCACAGATATAACAATCTTTACCTTAACATGAATTCTCTAAAAAATATATATAAATCTTCTATCTTCAGCAAGTCATTCTCCATCTCTTTATTAAAAAAATAAAAACATCTAACGATCAGCAATGAATACCAAATCTAAGCAATGTTTTAAACTTGATAATTGAAAGTGTCTTAGTCATCATATCTACAAGCATATAATGGTTATCAATCTTGTTCAAAATAATATAAACACGAACAATAACTTCATGAATGAAATGACAACAAACCTAAATGCGCTTCTCTCATGAAACAATCGATGTTTGGTGAGACAGCACATTATCACACATCATTGTGATAATCTTCAAGTCTTCATGAAGCTCTCCAAATAAAGCTCTCAACCAAAAATGCTTCCTTACAAGCTTCAACAATTACCAAGTACTCAACTTCAATTATAGACAATGTCATTGTGGTCTGCAATGTGACATTCTAGCTAATAGGAAAACCACCAATGATAAATATAAATTTTGTAATTGATCTCTCCTATCAAGGTCTCCATAAAACTTGAATCAACATAGTCGATGATTCTATTTGTAATCCTCTTAAACTGTAAACAAATATCTTTTGCTCCACACATGTACTTGAGGGTCCGCCTTATTGTTTTCCAATGCTTCTTACTCAAACACCTTTAGGTTGTAGCAATTTTAAGAATATAAGTATTTAATAAATAGTTGATAACTCACGATAACTTAAAATTAATACTTTCAAGAAATCTTTTGATAAAAAAGGAACATAAGATAAGCTATTTATAGAAGTCAGGGTCAGATTAGAAAAGATAATTACATTTATAACTAATTCTTTTAAACTAGTGTATTTTTCTTATTAGTTACTATTTTGATTTGTTTAATGATGAATTTTATTAATTAGCAACTTAAATTGAATTTATTGTTTGATTCCTGCCTTTGTAATTCCAAATCTCTCGGTCAGGTTGTAACAAAAATTAGATAGAGTTGGATAGCATGGGTACTTCCAATTAATCGGTCAGGCAACCAAAAATTTTCATCGGTCAGGCAAGAAGGTGCATCGATCAAGCAGAACTTAAGGTGTCATTAGGGGATGGTCAATTTGGAGAACAACATAAGCCATTAAAAGACCAAAATGAAGGAGAGTAAAGGATCAACTAGGGTCCTGATAAACCTGACAAGTGACAAAAAATATTTTAAAGAGAGCCACAGATCAGCTAAGGTCGTGTTTTGTAATCAAACAATAAATATGGTTTCCTTGAGTTCTGACCCAACTAATCTATTTTCTAGCTTTGAATCAGAGTCGATAATGCTCCTTTCAGTCAATTAAACAATTAAGGGAGTCAAATCCACCAGCTAACCAAGTGATAAAGAGGTCCTCTAAAGAAACTTAGGTGCTAGCTAAGCAAATTAAAAGCTAGAATGAACATCCTAAAACCAAGCCTTTATGGTCTGGATATCCAAGGCAAGATTTAGAATAAGAGAGATATCTCAAAGGTTCAAAATAAAGGTCAGCGCCTATGAGGAAAAGATCGAATCACCAGTTTTTTAAAAACTACAATATTTTTCCCACGAATACCTCACAATATTCTCACTTCCGCAAGCAATAACAACATCCATGGAATCCTTGAACAAGAACGCCAATGACCAGTAAGCATTTTTTCCACCAGCAAGCTCGCACATTCTATATTAACTGTAATAGAAGAAAAGAAAAAAATACCAGAATCAACCGAACAAGAACGCCAATGACCAGTAAGCATTTTTTCCGCCAGCAAGCTCGCACATTCTATATTAACTGTAGTAGAAGAAAAGAAAAAAATACCAGAATCAACAAATTCGGCGAACAAGTAAATAGCACAGGAATACAAAGCATAGATACCCGACTCGAGCACAAGTCATTATTACTGCCCTAACTCATTCATTGTTCCTAATTACTGAGCTTCAAATTGCTTCAAACACAAAATTCCGCATCCTTGATCTAGCAGTCCACAAACAACCAAGAGAAAATCAAGAACGCTAATGCCTTCACAAAGCAAATCACAAAAAAGAATCCAAAATGTGAAACACCAGAGCTAAAATGTATTTTCAAATAAAATATTACTTACAGCACAACATTCAGAAACCGAAATAAGAGATTGAAGAAGCTGGCGAAAGAAAGAAAGAAATCAAAGCTTACCTGAAAGGTTTAGTTGCTCGATCGAAGCGCGAGAGGTTTAGGGTTCGAGATAAACAATGAAGAAGGCAATCGAAAGGGAGCACAGAGCATGTGAACAAAATGGAGGAGCGGCAAGAGAAAGTGATCGAAGTTCTGAGATATCGCGAGGGCCTTCTGGAGCCTTCGCGGGTAGCCAGTTATGAATCATCTGGTGCGAGCGCATTTTATTCAGCCAAATCCCGAGTGCTGAGAAAACACCAAAACAGCCATTAGGTCCAATGATCAAATTGGAGAAAGTTGGGAGATATACGGATTTATTGGAAAAAATATTACCTCAGGAGTATCAGTACTCCAATAGTGGGGTGTCACGTGGTGTCAAGGTGGGATCATTGCATACGTGGCACCCCACTATTGGAGTACTGATGAATCAGTATTCCTGAGATAATATTTTTTTGATTTATTGAGAATAAAATTCAGAACATTATGTATACGTCATACGGTTTTTCAAGTTTGGGCATTTGCATATATTCCACCTAAATCTATTACATATTAATCACCTAAAATTTACTTTTTTTATACTTATACCATTCAAACATTATATATCAGATCAATTACATGACAATTTAAATTTATATTATGAAATACACCTTTTCATAGATAGTTAATATGGAATGTATGTAAAAATTAAAACTTTGATGTTAGACATATAAATACATTTGAATTGAGTCGTATTATGTGTGTATGTAATTTTTTTTGTTTACACAACTACCGCGGTTACATTTAGCAATAAACTTAGTATTCTTAAGGTATTGAACCAAGTTACCATTGCAAATAGAATTAATGTGATGAAAGGGGCAGAGGTGTGAGAGGAGATAATCCCACTAACATTAGAGATAATAGGATAAAGCTTAGTATTCTTAAGGTATTATACCAAGCTAAAATTAAATCCACAAAATTCTCATATAAAAAATCACCAAAAAATTAGGGATCATAAAAAGAAAATAGATGATTGCTAGTAGACACCTAAAATTAAGCAATTATTAAGACAAGATTAATGTAGAAATAGAAGATTGAAATTAAATCAAATGGAACCGTAATGATCACAACACCACTTAGCAACAAAGGACTCAAAATTATAAAGTCTCAAAATAACTTTAGTCTTGCATATGATGTTAATAGTGTCTAAAGAAAGAAAAATGTGCTTAGATAAGTTGATAGTATTCCATACAGTAATATTTATTCTCCCTTCTTTATCATTATGTTGAAAAAATATATCAAATAAAGTGAATCTTTTTTTCTTAGACCTTTAGGCAAACTAGTGAAATGAAACCAATAATAAAAATAGTATTTAATAAGTTGAAGCCTATTAGTAACATATAAGAACTTATGTTTCTAACCAGCTAAACAAATATAATGTTTGTCAAGAATTGTATTAAAATCCACTGCGTTAAGCTTAGAAACTTTAATGGTAACACTTAAATAATTGCAAGACATCGAAGCGCGAGAGGTTTAGGGTTCGAGATAAACAGTGAAAAATTCAATCGAATGAGAGCACAGAGTATGTGAACAAAATAGAGGAGCGGCAAGAGAAAGTGATCGCGAGGGCCTTCTGGAGCCTTCGCGGGAAGCCAGTTACGAATCGTCTGTCTGGTGCGAGCGCAATTGATTCAGCCAAATCCCGAAGGCTGAGAAAACCCCACACCAGCCATTAGGTCCAATGATCAAATTGGAGAAAGTTGGGAGATACAAGGATTTATTGAAAAAAATATTACTTCAGGAGTATCAGTACTCCAAAAGTGGGGTGTCATGTGGTGTCAAGATGGGGAGCGATTATTGCGTGCGCAGAGCGCACGCAGAGCTGCTAGATCAAGGATGTATGTAAAAATTATATATCACATCAATTACATGACAATTTAAATTTATATTATGAAATACACCTTTTCATAGATAGTTAATATGGAATGTATGTAAAAATTAAAACTTTGATGTTAGACATATAAATACATTTGAATTGAGTCGTATTATGTGTGTATGTAATTTTTTTTGTTTACACAACTACCGCGGTTACATTTAGCAATAAACTTAGTATTCTTAAGGTATTGAACCAAGTTACCATTGCAAATAGAATTAATGTGATGAAAGGGGCAGAGGTGTGAGAGGAGATAATCCCACTAACATTAGAGATAATAGGATAAAGCTTAGTATTCTTAAGGTATTATACCAAGCTAAAATTAAATCCACAAAATTCTCATATAAAAAATCACCAAAAAATTAGGGATCATAAAAAGAAAATAGATGATTGCTAGTAGACACCTAAAATTAAGCAATTATTAAGACAAGATTAATGTAGAAATAGAAGATTGAAATTAAATCAAATGGAACCGTAATGATCACAACACCACTTAGCAACAAAGGAATCAAAATTATAAAGTTTCCAAATAACTTTAGTCTTGCACATGATGCTAATAGTGTCTAAAGAAAGAAAATCGTGCTTAGGTAAGGTTATAGTATTCCTTACAATAATATTTATTCTCCCTTCTTTATCATTATGTTGTAAAAATATATCAAATAAAGTGAAAATCTTTTTTCTTAGACCTTTAGGCAAACTAGTGAAATGAAACCAATAATAAAAATAGTATTTAATAAGCTAAAGCCTATTACTAACATATAAGAACTTATGTTTCTAACCAGCTAAAAAAATATAACGTTTGTCAAGAATTGTATTAAAATCCACTGTGTTAAGCTTAGAAAGTTTAATGGTAACACTTAAATAATTGCAAGACAGATTTAATTGAGAGGCTGTTAATTTGACAGATATTATATTGAATATCAAAGCTCACAGATTTTGAAAAATATATAAAAAACTGAATAATATTAACATAAAGATAAGAAACCTTGTTAAATTATTGAGAATTAAAGACAAACAATTGAAAGAAGAAATCTTGGATTTTTCGAAAACGATTAAATCATCACCATATATTAAATGAGAAACTTTACCATTTTCCTAAATAAAATTAGTAAAATTAATGATATAATTATTAACCTCATAAAAAGAGATAAATCATCCATAATAATAACAACATAGGAAGAAAGAGAACAATCTTACCTTAAAACGGAGGTAGAAGGAATGAAACATTTTAACTTGCTATTAATGATGGTAGAAAAACAAACATCAATCATCAATTAACAAAAAGATGAGGAATGCCCATACACTCCATCCAATCATAGAGAACTAATTGATTAACTTTATCAAAAGCTTTTGTTAAATCAATTTTGGAGCAAACCCTCTTAGTGGAGGTATTAGAATTGAAATCAAATAAAATTTAATTAGCCAAAATAATATTATCATCAATATCACAACATTTAATAAAAGCAAATTGAGATTGATGAATCTTATTAGAAATAGTGAGTTTGAGATGATTAGCTAGAAGAATTGTAATAACTTTATAAATAGTGTTACATAATGAAATGAGCATAAACTCATTAAAATTATTAGCACAAGGCTTTTTAAGAATAACCATAATGGTAGAGTGTAACCATAATGGTAGAGTGTGTCATTCTACATGGTACCTTAGTAACAAAAACAATCAAGGCTTTTTAAGAATAACCATAATGGTAGAGTGTGTCATTCTATAAGGTACCTTAGTAACAAAAACAATAAGCCTTTATCCTACTAAGTGAGGTCAGCTACATGAACCATTTTTCTCCATTGTGTCATATTGAGTGTCATATTTTCATTTAATTCTAATAAATTAAGATCATTTTTTATACAACATGCCCAAATATTTTTAGTTCTTCCTCTACCTTTATTAGCACAACCCGAACCAAAACATATACTCTCTTAATCAGATCATCAGATGGTCGACGTTTAATGTGACCAAACCATCCAAGATATTTAATTTCTTTTCTTTAAATAGATTCTTGCAACTAGCTCTACAAGTTTCACTATTAATCCCCTTAACATTCCAACCATTACATTAAGAATAATCATTAAAAGAAAATTGAGGTTGGCTATCTTTCAACCTACCTTTCTTAAATTTTGAAGTAGAAATGTGAGGGATAGAAGGAATGACATTTTCAATATTAGAGATCATTTGATAAGATAAAAATTTTAAATTTAAATTTTGAGAAATGAATTTTTGAATATCATGAGAAATAACAATAATATAATTCATTTAAATTGTGTTCTCTATTAGTAGAATTAAAATGTTAAGCTCGTAAAACATCACAATTTTCTCAGGTAAACTCAAAATTATTGGAAGAACTATTAACAACAATTTAAGTCGTGAACAATTATAGGATTGGGAGGAATAGCAGTAGGATCAGAGATAGATATAGGATTAGAAGGAAGATTAAAGCGAAGAACATTATTCATAGGCATAGTGGGGGTTTATTGATAGTCTATGGGATCTTTGCACTTGATTATACTTATTCCTACTTCTTCCTCAAAAAACCAGAGCAATAATAAGAGGACCATTCTCTTAAGTTTGGGCAAGAAGAAGGATCATTAGAAAGAATAGAACAGGATTTATAGGGAATATATCTTCATTCATAAATAACATGCAAAATAATATCTTATCCTTTAACCTCTAAAAAAATTGAAATACGATGGTGAAAATTTATCTGTCAATTTTTTTAGGTTTATAGTTGATTAGCGGCTGATTTTTTAACAACCAACAAATTATCGGCTGATTTTTTTTATCCGTTATTTTTGCGGGTATATTTATGAGTCAATTTTCAACCGATAATTTTTTAGTTGAAAAATTAGTGAAAAATTAATCGGTAACCAGCTACAAATTCATCTAAAATTAATGGATGCTTTTTCTTGTTGACATATGTTTTGAGAAAAACTTGTTTTATCTTTATTGTCGTTTTGCAGTATGAGGCATCATAATATATATATATATATATATATGGTAAAAAGTGACATAGCGTTTACATGAAATAACAAATTTTGTAAGCTATAATGTAAAATTTTACATATATATATATACATATATATATATATATATAACAGGTGGTATTAATAATTATTCCTTATGATGCCTCCCCCGTGACAATTCATCCTCAATAATTCCTTTGTTAGCCCGGTTGGTGCTTCGACGAGTAGAGACCTGGCTTGGGAGTTTAGTATTGAGTTTACCACTTCATTTGTGTCATCTCGTTTAATCAATATTGCTTGATA